AGTCCTGGAGGAATCTCGAGGTCGAGTTGGGGTGTCGATGAACGAAGCTTAACTCAAACGGCGGCCAGGCAGCACGCACTGCAGGCCGTCGCAGAAAGCCGCCGGAACGCAGCAAATGTCCTTTCGAGGAAACTTGACTGCAGGAATACTTAGGAATTGTAAGCTAGCATGCCTGACAGCCATGACACACCAAACCACCATGCCACTACGAGCCTCAGCCCTAACTACGACAAAGGCACGCAACACCGGGCTCTTCGAGCGGAAGAACAACACATCCAGCCTGGTCTAGGATCTGATCGCAGTATCGATCCCTGCACCAACCGTTCCTCAGCGCAAAGGGCCCAACAGTGACAGAGCTGCCAGAAAGGGCCTGTGGCTTACAAGGCTCTTGCTGGTCGCGGGAACCCAAAGGAACTGGGACAAACCAAGATTGCTTGTCGGCTTTCACCAGATCAAGTGGCGTGTGGCAAGAACTGCCGGCTTCAACCATGAACACAACAATCCGAGTAATGTGCCAGCTCGATTCATCAAATCTTGCTATGTTGATTAGCTCCGTGACAACCCTGAATTATGAGAGTACTAGCAGATCAGCGGCAGCCTAGAACCTCCATGACGGACCCAGCCAAACTTTTGAGGCCTTTCCGGCTGCCAAGGCAACTATGCCTACAGAACCACTCCAGAGGGCAGGCAGTTGCCCGGACCCTCAGCTCCCTGGATCTGAGCTAAGATTCACCTCAGGCCTGAATCGCACCCAAAACAAATAGCCAGCCACTCAATGATCCGTAGCCGGAAATCCGACAGAGGACAAGGCACAGGTCGGGAACGAGGCTTTGCGTTCGATCGCAGGTGGTGATCAGGGTGCATGGTTCTACCTGGTTGGGGAAGGGATGCATACGCCACACCGGTGTCGTGATGCGAACTAGGTAACTGGGGTGTGAGAAGCTGCGGACTTCACCCAGAAGGCCCAGACCCGATCGCAGCAAGTATCTCGATCTCCAAGTGGATCACAGACCTCACTTTTTGGTCTGGGTTTGGGGGCCCTGAGCTTTCTGAATGCCTGCAGACATGTATGAGGTCCAAAAAGACTCGATCCACCCAGAATCACTCGCCCAGGGGTCCGGGTTGGGGCGGAGGCTAAAGGAGAAACTGTCTGTGCGGTGCGAATCTGATGTCAGCCGGGCAGCCGCCTTTGTACAGAAGATGTCCTTTGCGTCGAGCTTCAATACGTAGCTGTACACACAAACCTCAGAACGACACCATGGCAGAGCGCGTTGGTGCTGGACACGAATTGAACCGGGGGAGTTCCAAAGCAGCTTTCTGTTTGGCCTTGGAGCTGCCTCTAACATCTCGAACTCAACAGCAACGACCCTGGACCAGAAAAACCACGGGCCTCTTACTCTTCCGCAAGCCAACTGCTGCGTTCAGGTGCTAGGACCGATGCCCCTTACTGCAATGACAATCACCATGGCGGAAAAACTAACTCGCCGTGAGACCCCTAGCGACGCACAGGGCGCCCTCTCGATGTAGAGCGTCCCATCAATGTTCTCCTGGGCTTTTTCGGACGGTCTCTGTATTGCATGTACCTCCAAGACGACTCGAGGCGGTCGAGTTGCAAGGAAGTGCCAGAACAGCACGCTGGTGACGGTCTGGCCGAGGCTCAGGACGCCGCTGAGCATCCCTTCATCTCCCTTCGGCCCTTCACCACCCCTCACTCGCCAACAGCACTCAGGCCTGGATCCCACGCCCAAGCTCAACAGAGACAACAGGCAACCCCAAACAAGGCCAAGCCTGGACCCACGTGCCATCTTCTTTCCTGGCTTGCATCGTAGGAACCGGAGTTCCGAAGTTCTGCCACACACTTGGGATTTAGGCACCCATCAACTAGAAGCCATGCGCCAGTGGAAGCCCTGCAAAGCTTGGAAAATGGAGGGTCGCGCTCTGAGGTCAGAGCTGCAGCTCCGTCTCCAGGACCGAGCCTGCCCCAGGCTGGGCGGGTCGCTCAGTCTTCCAATCCAGGCGGTGCTTGCTGCTACCAGAACAATTACGAGAAAACATGGAGTGGGAAGGATGCTGGGGCCTGACAGGCGCGAATTCCGTGCCGACTCTGCCCAGGATCCGGGCACAGTGTCGGTCGGGTAAGAGATGCGCGTGTACCTGCTACAATGCTTAGCGAAGACCAGCTCGACGCTCTAATTTTTTTAGGCCAAACGAATTTCGCAAAGGTCCTGAACAGAATGAAAAAAACCCGATGCACAGGCCCTAGCCGCCGCAGGTCACTCTTGAAACAAAGCCTCTCCGGCTCCGTCCAGCCTCAGCTTGGACGGAATTGGCTTGGAAGTTCGTCCTTCGGCACAACTGGATTTCTAGTTCAAGTCAGGACGTCCCTGCAAACCGCGAATCACTCAAAATCTTCCCATCGAGCCCCAGTGCAAAAGCCCAGCTGCTCGAAGTTGCCATCCACTACTTTGAGCGTCTGATCTGCGATGACCTGGCACGCAGCATGGGCAACAAACCCTCTGAAGCTCCTGGCCCCTGCCCTCCACTTCTTCAAGCGGTCCGGTCTGAACTCTGAGCCTCAGCCGAGGCGCATGAGTGCACTGCTTCTTCCAGGACGCGTCCGGTTGCCGGAGGCGAGCGCAGAGCCGGGAGCCATCGAAAAAAGCGTCCTCTCAGGAGGGGCAGAGGTCAGAGGTTCCTGTCTTTGAGGAAGTGCTGGGGTGCGATATGTAATGCTATACAAAGTCTCAGAGCCAAGGCGCAGAGAAACAACCTACCTACTTTCTCGACTTGAAGCTGATGTAAATCCTTCCAGCAGCACTTGGTATGGTCGTCTGCTCTCTGGAAAAGCTTCGGAAACTCGAAACGCTCCAGTGAATCTGCCGATCTCCTGGGCATCGTTCGTCCATGCTCCACCTGATCAAAGATTCAGGGCATGCTGGGAACCATCTTCGCGTGTTTCAATTTCCGTATCTGTCCCAGGGCTGCGTGGGCGCTGTACCGGGTAGTTATTCTGGTGCAGACACATACCTCATGTCCTGACATCCTGCCAAAGACTCACACAACCCACTATCTTCAACTCTTCCCAGTGCTTCAGAGATCGAAAAAAAAAGGCGGAGAGCGAGCAAAAAGAGCGAGGGAGACAGAGAGAGAGGGCGTCTTGCCTCATCTTGCCTCAATGTTCGGACAGGGCGACTCAAGGGGACAAACCAAAACCCGCCTGGGAGGACGACCTCAGCACCAGGTTGGGCAATGCCCGGGACTTCTTTGTACACCTTCTCCCGAGGGACCTCATATTTCTTCGCATTACTCACCACCGGTTCTCGAGAAAGCCTGAGGCTGCAGCTCACGTGGTTTACTATTTTCGGGGGCACAAGGGCAAAGGCCATGGGGTTGTAGCTTGGAACTTGACACATGCGACACTGCGGACAATCTGGCAGCAATGCTGAAACACTGCAAACTTAGTGCCATCAAAACCCAAAACCAAAGGACAAGATCTCTGAGGGTGCGAAAGAACACCTCGTCATCCCAAACTGTCGGCACACGACGGGTGCAGCAGCCGGGCTTCCCACTGACTGCCCTCGAGAGATATCGAAATACTGCTCCAGCGTCACGCGACACTTCAGCCTCGGCTCAGCTCCCGCATGGCGAAGCTTTGGATGGATTGGGGAGCCTCCTCTGTTCTGTGAAAACTGCAGGCGAAATTTTCACCCAGCTTCTTGTGACGGCACTGGTCACCGTTGAAGAGCACACTAACAGTCTGCAGGTAGAATTCGTAAACCTGTAGTCTAGTGGGTGCCCCATCGATTGATCACTTAGTGACTTCTCGGGCTCGGGTCTGCGATGTGGAGGTCGTCTGAGACCAAACCAACTGCTGGCCAGGACGCGATGAAGTTGATTATGGCCATGAACACGCTGATGATGCTGCTGATGATGGTGGTGGTGGGAAGAAGATGCTGGCGACCGGAGATGGACATCAAGATGGCACGAGTGTAACGGGGCAGGCATTGACAAATAGAAAATGCAGAAGTACGTGCAAGTAATATTCCCTCCCACTGAGAATAGGACGCAATGATCGCCTTAGATCATCCAGGTCCGAAACTCTGGTCACCGCTTTGCTTGGAGCTCTTTGCAACCATTGCCATTGCCCCACTCACGCTAAAATGACACGAAACTGCACCTCAAATCCAGCCGTGTGAGAAGCTGCATGCAGACTGTTGTTGCAACCGAACGACCTCAAGAACCGTGAACTCCTCCGACCCACCCATCGTCGAGATAGGTTTATCTGTTGCAAGTCGTGCACAGCAAGCTTAGGTTCGTTCAATGTTTAAGTTGAGGGCCTCCAACCTAGACTTATTGCTTGCAAGCCTGGGGCACTGGCCAGGACGAGACACCGGCGGAACATTCCAGCAAGGCATGGCATTTGCAGGCCGGAACCAAGCTTTGGCAACGTCGAGGTTCGGTTGCGGTGTAGAGGTGAATGGGGTGGGCAGACTGGGCTATGGTGGCTAGGGTTCTGCGGGAGGGTCCTCCCGACCCGGCGTGGTTCGCGGATGCTCTTTTTGCGCCCCGCTTTATGTGTAGGTGAACAGATGCACAGGCAGGTTGCGGGCTTGAAGGTTGTCCAATGTGCGGACTTCTCGCGTGCAGGCTTTCAAAGTCCACGGGCTACAGTGGGGTGGGCCAGGACATGTCATGAGGCCCTTCATGATCTGCATGGTGCAGTTGAGCAGCTTCATGCGTCAAACATGCTTGGTACTTGCATGTCCAAGCCTGAGAGGACTTGGGAACGAGGCTCCGAGTTGATTTGATGGGCTTGGGGAAAGACTCTCCGATGCCGGGGTTTCGTGTGCTGTCAAAAGGGGCACAACCAAAGCCATCATCATTGAAGACCATTAGCAGCAAAACGGCAAAAGGCTATTACAGATAGCCTGGGCATCAGCAACAGAACACAAAAGAATCCGAGCACACAAGCTGCCGAATGGGCCCTCTTGGGCAGCTGCATCCTACCCGAGCGCTGGCCGTCGTCTTTGAGGAAGACCTCTGTCACCTGCACCCGCACCGAACCGATGAGCTTCCCTAGGGTCGGAGATCGCCAACTGACTGCGAGTGGTTTCAATCGACGCCAAAAACCCCACAAGGGAGAGCCTTTCTGAGGTTGTGGGATGAAGAGAATTGTAAGAGAGAAACGCTCCTGAGACTACAGGATTGCCGGGCCCACGGAGTCCCACGGAGTCCCATGCTTCCTAACGCAGATGTACTGTTGCTGCATGACCTGACTGCACTGCAGAGAAGGGATCTGAAAGACTGCTGGTGCCATACCACTGCTGCGCATTGCCATTGCTTGCTCAGTAGGAAACCCAGGGACTCCGGCGTCCACTTCCACACTTCAGGATTCCTTCAAAAGTGAGGCTGCGTGCCACAGTGCCGTCAGAGTGCCATGCCACTGCCACGTTGCTGCAATGCAGATAAGGGCGACGCGCTACCCACAGTGCATCCCTGAGACTTGGCCAGACAAGATGTGCGGCAGCTGCATGATCCGTGCGCTTTGAACCTGTGAGGTGGCCGCTTGACTGGCCATTCAAGTGCTCGAAATCAAGATGTGTCAGCAACAGATTTTGGTACGACCCACTCATGCACTCTGCTTGACAAGAGCAGGCAAGAGCTTGATTGCAAAAAGCATTGGTCATTGTGCCATTTGCAGCTTCTGCAGGTTGACCGATAAGGCCGTCACAGGCATGAGGTTTAACCTTGACTGTTCGGATCCGGCTGTGATCCACAGACTGCACTGCAGCATTGGGTGTGTTGCATTGCCAACTGCTCAGCTGGAAAAGGTGGCTTGCGCATCTGCTGCGTCATGAGGTCGCAACTCCATCGTCGCCGGTCGCTTAGAAGCCCCGGGACAGTTGCTTACCTGCCTTCGTTGCTTAACCGTTTACCTGGCACTGCAGGGATGCGCAACCGGCTTGTGCACAGGATGTCAAGCATGCATCAACGAAGCTCCTCGTGCCGAGTCATGGAATTGCAAAACGCTGAACCTAGCTAGGGGACACCTTTGCCAACTGTTAAGCTATGCTTGGAGGAGCAGCGGTAGGAGACCCCCACAGGGACTGCGCGCTTCCACCATAAGCTTTGTCCTTGGAGTCTCCTAACTTGCGGGCAGTCCCAGGTTTTGGGTCTCCCATGCTGTCCTTTGTCCCGTTCGGGCCTGGCCAACCTTGCCAAACTCTTCCCGCAAGAACATCTCGGTGCTCCCGGCAGGAATGCCGCCGACCCACAACCTCGCTGGACCCCTGCAGCATCCCGCAACTCAGAACTAGGAGGGACACGGTCCTGCAAAAGGGCCACTGCGGAAGGGATGAGGGCTTCACAGAACATAAGATCATCAACGAAACGAAGCCCACAACCTGAGCATTGAAAGCTCGAGTAGCCGGACCTTGCCAAACTCGAAACCCCTCATTCCCGCCAGTTGTGGCCGTGGCTTGCACGGATTGTCTGCACGAGGCCTCACGGAGAGGGGCCTGTGGTCAGACGACACCGGGTTTGGGGCTGAGAGTCTCAGACTCGAGGCTTCTGCTTGTCCTAAAGCACCTCCACCGGCCCACGTTCCTCCTTCCAGCTCAAGATCGAATCACGTCCCGGGGCCCCGGCTGCGGGGGTTCCGGCATCGGCGGTGGAGGCATCTGGAACTGGTCCTGGAAATCTCGGAGAGTCGTGACCCCGTGTTGCTATTGGGGTCCCTGAAGATGCAGCTCGTAGTTCGTGAACCAAGTAGGCTGCATGGACATGTATCGACTGTGAGCAGCACAAGCAAGCGGCTTGCTCGGAAAGTCGGAAAACCCCGATAATCCCCTAACCCTTCACCTGCGCAGCGCCCATCGCCTGTGCCGCGAAGGCTCCTGTCCTCATCCAAGGATCCACACTCGACAGAGAGGTTGGTAAGACAGAGAGGGAGATGGGTCCTAGCAGAAACCCCGGAGACGGGCGAGGACCGGACGCGAAGGCCGACAGGACTTCCGTGGCTCCAGTCGAGTCCACAAAGGTAACAAAGCCCCACCTCAGCACTGGACAGGCTAACGAAGCACCTGCATCCGGTTCAGACACAGACCAGGATGCCCGGCATGCGGCCCTGGACCTTTCCGTCATCGCGTATGTACACATCCTGGACCTCATGAGAGCACTTTGCACGAGTCATGAAATCAAGAAGATCACCATGTACCGTGATATCTGGGATCCAAAAGACCCGCATCATTCCCAAGTTGTTGCTTGGTTCCTGTGCACATGCCGATCTTCGAGGTGCGGGCAGCTCCGTACTTCGAAAACTCGTGGTACATGAGGTCCTGCAAGCAGACCACTGAGGACAGCCGCCCGACCCAACATAGCACAACAAGGAGGGACTGAAGTGAATTCTCTCGTTGGATATTTTCAGTTGCCCAGGAGTGTAATACCTTCGTTTTGCTCGGGCTTTCCATCTGTTCAAGCTTAGAAACCGTCCCAGGTATCGCAACCCAAAAACTGTGGATGGTCGCCGTCCTTCGTGGTTCCCAGAGGGATCTGTCCCACCCACCTGCATGCAGTACGGATGCCAACAAGGGCTCCAAGCCCTTCTCTCTGCATCGCCAGATACGAACCCTTCACCATGCCTTCAACATCCCACTCCAACTTTACGGGATGAGGCCCTGCCCGAAACTCCCATCGAGGCAAGCCACAACTTGTTGCCAAGGTCATTGGTGTGCGTCGCAAGCTTGATCTCCAAGCCTCGCATCTGCTTCGGCGTCGGTGGGAAGCGGACGCTTACGCCACGTTGGACCGGTCCGAGACATGGAGTCGGTCGCTGTTTGGCATGGGCAGAAATGGGCAGAGCTTGGGAAGGCCCTTGAAGGCTCAGGCCCTTTGAAAGATCCATGCGGCCTCGAACCACCACCCTCCGAGAAATCCCTAGAAGACCCCAGTCTTGAAGTTCCTGAAGAGGCAAGCGGGCCTGAGAGGTTGCCAGGCGCAGGCCTGGGATGTCAGAGGATTTGCGTGCAAATTCCAAGCTCCCTTGGACCGAGAGAGCCTCGGCCGTCCCTCCGAATCCCATGTTAGAATTAAAATATGTAAAACATAATATCAATTCAATAACTGTTTTCTTGGGCCCAGACTGCTCGTAGGGCGATTGCCGGCTGCCCTGTGTTTCGGGCAGAGGACAAAAATCTCGCAACCCTGACGGAATCAGAAACTTCAAGTGAAGTCTTCGCAGGTTGGCCTGAAGCCCAAAGCTCGAAATTATGCAGTCCTCTTTCCTTTGGAAAGCCGTGCTGCCTTGCCCTTCGACTGGGAGTAGCCGATCTTGATGGGGCCCGACATGCCGGCCGGCGTGTTCCTCTGGCTTCTCTCGCTTGGCTTCGGGAACTCGCCGTGGGACGTGGAACTTTAGGAACCTCCTCCTTTGCCCCTCTGGACTGGTTTGCGAACAACGCTCCTCATCTTGCAGTCTCTCGGGTCTTTGCTATAGGGTGGCAGTGCACTCCTTCCATCTGGACTCTAGGCTTTGGGCTTGGATGAGAACGGAATCTCGAAGAGTAAACCCTGCCACCCTGGGGCTGATTACATCAAGCCGGCTACATTGCGCATCGAAACCCTCGTGCCAAGCTCTGGAAGCCACAAGGCGCGCACCCGTTCAAATTGTTGACAATCCACTGGGACTGCGCCTGTCTCAGGTTGCTCGGCCCAAGCTCGATTGCAGGAACAGGCACCCGAACATGCACCCGAACATCGATAGCACAAAACAGCGAGCAAGCTGAGGCCAAGACCACGTCGCCCATTTCCACCAGGGCGGCCCGATCCTTCGCTACATTCTCTTCTGGTTGCGGATTCTGGCAGTGTCGTCTTGATGACACGCATCTCCGGCTTGAATGAACGTGGGGCCATCACTTTTTGGTCGGTCCCCTCAGTGTATGGAGCTCGTAAGGTTGCGGGTTGAGTCAATGAAAGGGATTTTGGCACATGCTCATGGCTCTCAGGAACTTAGCTCCCCGGTCTGCCTTGCCAGTTTTGCAGGTGCAGGCTTTGTTGTTGAGAGGTCCTTTGGGCTAGAAGGATAAAGTTGCCACCTGCACCGAGGGCCGCACGGGCATGCCGTTGTGCGGCAGCACTTTGCACCGCATAACCTGAAGCATCACAAGAAGGATGCTCGGCCCAACGAGAGTAAAGCAAAAAGAGAAAAGCATCCAATCCATGGCAGGAATCATAAGAAACTCGCATCCCGACCAGAGCCCAGGACAGAGAGCTCACATGAATGATCTGCTCGAGGCCCCAGCCATCCCATAGTTTGCAAAGAGATCACGGAGCTGACCCTCATCGATCTCCATTGGCCTCAAGAGCAAATCTCGGGCTCGGCTCTGAAAGGACACAACGGGAGCGAGGAAGGGGCTTCTGCGGCACTGAGATGAGGGCAATCCGGTCACGAAGAGGTTGCACGATGGCTCGTTGCCCCTCAGCTGTGATGGATTGGGACGGGTTGCCACCACCAACACAGGAACAGGCAAAGATCAGCCCGAACAGGTAAACTGCGATATTCCCAAGGCCGGAGGACTGAACAAACCTGCAGAATACATCTCGGCGCTTCAATCTGCACTCCAGGCCTTCCACCAGCTTTGCCATAGCCACCCGCACCTCAATGACTTCAGGATTTGTGATGTTGTGCTCCGAACGTCAAGCTGTCAAGAGCCCGCATCCAGACATCATGATGCTTCCTGACATTGCACAGCTCATGGGCACTGTGCAGGGGCACGAAATTGACAAACCGACCAAGAATCGGACCCATGCCCGCCATGCCCATGTTTGGCATGCCACATGCGCATCCGCAGCCCATGTTATTCGGGCAGCAGCCTCCACAGCAGCCACAACCACATCCACCACATCCACCACATCCACCACATCCACCACATCCACCACATCCCCCACAACCACAGCCCCCACAGCCGCAGCAGCCTCCGCAACAGCCCCCACAGCCACAGCCACCACAGCAACCGCCGCAGCAGCCGCCACAGCCGCAGCCACCACAACCGGGGCAACCACCACAACCGCATCCTCCGCAGCCACAGCCACCGTCGCAGCACCCATAGCCGCAGCCTCCACAGCCGCAGCCTCCACAGCCGCAGCCGCAGCCTCCACAACCGCAGCCACCACAACCACCGCAGCCACAGCAGCCGCAGCCTCCGCAGCCGCAACCGCATCCTCCGCAGCCACAACCGCCGCAACCCCCACATCCTGAACATCCACAGTTGCAGGCGCCACAGTTGCCACAGCCACAATTGCCGCAACCACAATTGCCGCAGCCACAGCCACAGCCACATCCACCACAGGCCTCGCACCCCCCACAACCGCAGCCTCCGCAGCAACCTCCACAGCAGCCGCCACAGCAGCCGCCGCAGCCGCCGCAACCGCATCCGTCACATCCACCGCATCCACATCCTGCACAGGTGCAGCCTCCTCCACAGCCATTGCAGGCAAAGGCAGCGTTCGCCGGCATGCATGCACCCTGTGCGGATTGCGCACTATCGCCAACATGGCCGTCGGCTGCCAGGCACCCAGCGGCATTGGCAGTGCCCTCGGGTACACTGGGCGCTCCTTCGCACGCTGAAGCCTGACAGAAACCCATGGATCATGGCATGTCATCATCTCATGATGCAACCTGCCCGTCACCGCAGCCTGTGGAGAGTTCGGCATGCTGACGACAGTGCACTTGAGTGCTTCGTAGCTCTGCTGGGCCTGAGAAGCCAGTGCCCTTTGGCCAATTGGCATGGCAAGGAACGGATTAATTTCCCTCTGACGGATGTGTGACAATAACTTCGAGCGAATCAGGATGCTCGTTGTTATCACCAGCAGCAACAATAGCAGCAGCAGTAAGACGTCATCAACAATCGTCATGATGTTCTGAACGTGTCAAAGCGCGATTGATTCACCATAACCAGGCTAGACTAAAACATCATCATCACAACACACATCACCTGTTCCACCATCATCATCATCATCATCATCAGCATCATCATCATCGTCATCATCATCATCATCATCGGCAGGTGTGTCATCATCATCACCATCATCATCCTCAACACCGCCGTATTCGTTCTCGTCGTTATGTTGGAGACGCGTTCCGCGAGGTCTCACTCCGAGCTAAGCCGATTGCAACAGAAAATCACTGCCTCAGCCTGGGAACCTAGTTTTGCTCCTGAAACCGAAGTCCGCGCGGTCAAGTTGCAATCTGGGCCCGGTGCTTGGGAGACGTCTGCCTCCACCTGCACGACAGAGCCAGTGGAGATCTGCTGTATGCCAAGGACCTCGTCGCAAAACTAATCATTGAGCCATCACAAGATGTCACAAATTACATCTTTTTCTTCCGGTTCCTCCGTTGTTGCCCGGCCTTGCAGCCGCATTGGTGCTGGTGCTGTTTGGTGAAATTGCAGTTGTGCTGAGCTGCCGGTAATGATTGGGCAGTGGCCTGAGAGTGCCTGTGCTTCTTGGCAGCAGTGAGACTATCTTATCCAAGCACACTCGGGGCTACCAGAACAAAGCCAAGGCCCTGTTGGGCTCCCCCTAACTGAGACAAGCACTGATCGCCGCACGACGATGTCCAGGGCACCATCCTGTCGCCATGCCGCACAGCACTTCGGCAAACACACAGAGCAACAGTCTGGCATCAGTCAACAAGCCCGGTTGAAGTCTCTGCTAGACTACTCACAACTTCCGCATTCATGTACAAAACGAGCCCTTCGGAGCAATACACGTGCTTGAGCTGCAAGACTTGGTTGGCAATTAAATTTCATCCCCTTGCCACACCATGCATGACAGATGGGCTTTGACAGGGGAAGCAGTCAGGATTGGGTGGAGTGTAGGCTGCTGATACCGGTTGATGAGAAAATGAATGCAGACTGCATGTCTCGAAAGACAGGTTGGCGCCCAGTTCATGTTCGGTGCTTCTTTTCGGGCTGCACCCTTTCCGGGCCAAAATTCCCGGAGCTCGGAAGACACTCGAAGATTCGTCAGATCCGCTGCAGTACACACGCCAGGCGCAAACCTTCAAGAACGCTCTCTGGGCGTGCATCTCTTGGCATTTTCGTCTGGCCTGCACGCCGTCCGGCTTTACTAGACCTCAGGCTCTTCAGATTCACAAAGCTGCAAGCCATCATCCTAAATTCCCAGTTCCTGTGACTTCCTGATCTGCAAGCTGACCAAGTGTCATGAAGTTGCAATTGCAGCCGTGGACCGTACATCTCTACCAAAGTCTAAATGGTGGGCCTCCGAGGCTCGGTACTCAAGGGGCCACTCTTTGCAACACGGAGAACCGAAAGTGGAAGTGACTCTTGCGCCAAGAAGCTCTCCGGCCCAACCCCCGCCTGGCCCGCCCGGCCGGGCGGCAGAACTGAGCGCAAGGCCCACTCCTTCGGCCTCATCCCAAGACTTCACCACCCCATTCAGCCTGAGCTGCACATGATTATAAGGCATCAGAGACACGGACTGGAAACGCCACATGGTGGGACCTGGGACCTCGTGGCAGTTCCAAGCCCCCTGAGCTCGCGGCGTCTGAGCCATGGCCTGGCGGCCCGGCGCGACCAGCCTAGAGCGGTGGAAGTTGTGGGGCTTTCGCATCCCGAGACATTCCCAAAACCCCTGAGGGGCCGACGCGGCCTACCGCGGCTCAGGAGGACGGCGCTCGCCAAGCTATCTAGCAGTCTAGGTAGACTCTACTACTCTTGGCTCAGATGGTCTTGTGTGCTCCTTGTCTAGGCCCCAAACCACACCAAACCTACTGGGACCAGGACTGCGCAGAATTTAGGCTTGGGCTTCCATGTTATAACGGGTCAAGACTGTCAGGGAAGCTTCTGGTGGAAGCAGGAACACAGCTGGCACAGGTTTCAACAAATGCACACCACTGAGTAATCGTGTCGATGGCCTCTTAAGGTCCTAAAAGCGCCTGGCCCAGCCGAAAGCTGCAGAGCGTCTTCGTCTCAAGACTCCTCCAAAGCCTCGAAATGACCAAGACCGGCCAAATCCTATCCAACGCCAGGTTTCCTTTCCACCTTGAAGGCCTCAAGGATTGCAAGCACGATCCCGACAGTCTCGGGGAACCCAAGCGAGTTCTCAGATGCAGAGGATTCAGGATCAAAACCAAGAGCTCCATGGATCTGTCTCCTGTTTGACTCTCAAATTTAGGTCTAGAGCTCGTCACAACAAACTCTGGCACCAGCAGCACAGCCTGCATCACAACAAACATCGAAACAAGAGCTTTCTGCGGATCCCACCGAAGGGGTTGCGCAGGGACGCGGGCCTCGACAACCAGACTTTGAACATGTACCTCTGTAATCCAGTGTACCGATTCGTTGCTAACGGTTGCTTTGCGTCCGTTCGAACCTGGGACCCCTTGCATCTTCACTCGTGGTTTAAAGGAACCGGCATCGCCGATTAAAGAGATTCGACGTTTGCATATGCGTTGCTCCTAGCACCCTTCAGCTTAAAGCCATGACTTCGTCTGTACAACTAAAACCCGCAAGCCTTGAAACTCTGCAAGACTTGATGACTCCTTCTGTCACATGCTTAAACCCTAAACTCTAGACCCCCGAAAGCCCGCTCTAAGCTGGATGGTGAAAAAGCACTGCTTGGTCGGTCCAAACCAGGGTCCATGACTCTATGCGAGCCTTAGGGTTCCTTTGGGTCGGACTCTCGTCGAAGCAAGCTGCTTAAATCCGTGACGGTCTGGCTAAAGTGCACTGGTGAGTTGGAAATTCAGATGACGGAACGTTACGGCTGTCTAGAATCATGCGCCAGAATCTGGGTCGCACAACTGAGCTGACTGTGTCGGACTTTCGCAAGCTCCTGGCGCAAGATCCCACATCTGCAAGATGCCCTTCCAGAAGTCACCGGGTCCAAACATCCAAAATCAACCCAACCATCTCTGCCGTCGAAACGAACGAACACTGTTCAAACATCAAAAGCCCTGAACACCCTTCATGAAGCTGAAAGGGCATCACAAAAATCGGGTAGATGTGCAGCATGACAATGAGATAGGATGACTGCGAGTTTGTCGTGCAAGAAAAGTCACAAAGGTCACACTCGCGACCTGCCGGGTTCAGACACGTGCGACTGAAGCTATCAGCGCCTAAATCCAGCCGCAAAATGTCTAACAATCTGCGCGCTCGAAGCAGAGGCTCCTCCACAGACTTTTGTGCTGCACGAGCAGCCTGAGAATCGCGACGGTTCTTTGTCAAACGACGCCCTAACTGCAGATTTACGCTGTGGGCTCGTTTGCATGGTCCAAATATCCTGGAACAACAGATACAGCCCAATGAAAGAGACAAGACATGGTCACTGAGCGTTTAAAGACCTCCGAGCGACATGCCCAAATTCTGATCGGATAAGTGCGAGGCTCTACTCTACTCCTACTTGTAACCGCCTCCTTGATCATCCAGACTGGTGGCTGTGGCGCCGCCTGATGCGCGGAAGTATAGTTTGGGACCCAGAGAAGCATTCGTTTGGCATTGCCGTAACAGTCAAGGCTGCGTCTTGAAGGGACCCGAAAGTCTGCTGTGTTCGTCACAAGAAAACCAAAGCTGAATGTTTTGCCGAAACGACAAGCAGAAACTCAATAGCCTGGGTCTGAAGCTCAACCCCCTCGTCGCCTCAGCAACTCTTGCTCTGCGCTTCGGAGGCCTTCTTTCACAATGAGCACAGGTCTTTGATCGGATATCCACGACTTTGCAAGCTATCCAAGAATTTGTAGCTTACAGTGCTGGCACTTGCGGCTTCGTTGCGACTGGGGGGATGTGCAATGATTGACAAATCTTGTCTGCG